TTTCAAGTTTTAAATAATAAGATCTAATATCAATTTTTGGTTTTGATAACTGGATTTGAGATTGATTTTTGGGTTTGAATTGGGAGTTCAATTTGGTTATGTTTTCACATTAGATATTTGAATGTGATGGTATTGGAAGACAACTTCAGGTTGTGGTGCTGGAGGACGTTAAATTTAAGTAATGGTGGATGGCAGCTTTAGGTGGTAGATTGTAAGTTTGGGTGGTGGATGGCAGTTTTAAGTGTGGTATTGGTTGCGTTCTCAGGAAGACAAGAAAATGCCACCAATGAGTTCAATAGTGGGGCTTGGTGGGCTTGATGATACAATTTATTTAATTAATAATGATAATAAATAATCTAAAAATAATAAAGACCCAAAGATAAGTAATTTTGTTATTTAAGATAGTTGAATAGATGGTAACTAGGAAAATATCAAAGCTGGTGTATTTGCGAACCATGATGATCTGTAGTATAAAATTTCCAAAACTATGACAAAACCTATGGAAATGTGTATACCACAAGGATTAAAACTACAAAAACTATGAGTAAATTACAATTTTAGTGCCCTAAAGTTTACTCATATATACAATTTGAGTCAAAGTTTTCAGAATTTGATATGGTTGGTCTTTATGGTTCCAAAATCCATCGAGGTTTGTCCCTAAAGCTAGTTTCATTAACTCATATTCGTTATAAAATGACCATTATACCCAATAATTTTATTTTCTCTGTTGTATTGGCATTTATATTGACATTGTTAATGGCTTGAGGGGCTATTTCTATAAAATATTATGAACAAGCCCCAAAGGGCTTTATGGTTGTCGATGTACCATTTTGGCTTTAGCACATTCTCACCCTCTCCCATCTTAGCATCTCCAATGTCGGCGCTAGAACCATCGCCTCTAACTGCCATCCTTTCATCCTCTAACTGGCGCCTCTTCCAACATTTACATCTAGTGCCGACTATCTTCTTCGCATACGTCGGTGTCCCAATCAACACCCTTGTGCTCTCTTCGCTGCCTCATCTCCTTCGACCACATCTTTCTCTATTGTAGCTGTAAGTCCGATTGGCTACTGCAACCATTTTCGAGATCCATTCCTCCTTTGTTGTCCTCGTCTCACATGCCCCTCTTCCTCTTTCCTTTCGGTTCTGATTTACGCTTAGGGTTAGCTCGGGAATCTTATTTGATTTTGATTAGATTTGTCATTGAAACCGACTATTACTTGCAATTTTGCAATTTTGCCATTGAAACCGGCTATTACTTGCAATTTGGCTCAATCGTCAGGTTACCGAAAACAATACCAAGTTTTGATGGTTAAATTGTAAACAAAATATCAAGGATGGCGTTTTTGTCAATATGCCAAAATATAGGTATTTTTTTCAACGCATAATAATTTTTAACCTCAAGTCTTATATATATATATATAATATATATATATATATATATATATATATATATATATATATATATATATAATATATATATATATACACATTAAAAGGGTGTTTAGGATTTCATTTTGAACCTAAAAATGACTTTTAGGCAAAAAAAAGACTTATTGATGGTGGTGAGAAAATAAGTTTTTTAAAAAGCGTTTGGTTTAGATTTTATGGTGGAAAAAATCAATAAGTTAATAAGTTGTTTTTTTTAAATTGTCTTGTCTTAACTTATACATGTTTTAAGAGATATTTGATTTTTACAACCCAAAAAGTTATAAGAAGTTTTGAAAAATTAGAAATTCTAACATGTTGAAATCTCCTTTTTTTTTTGTTAAGACACCTTCTAAATTATAATCTATTTTTGTTGAAACAAACATTACAATTTGTTTGATTTTTAATATATGATAATAAATAAATATATTTTAATTGTACTTCCATTTAATAAAATATAAAAACGATTAAAATATAAAAAATATATTGTTATGAAATGTATATGTCATTTTTTGATGATGAAACTAAATCAAAATTTGATACGAATTGTACATCCATATACCAAGTACTTGGTTGAAAACAGTGCATTAATACATCCGTAGATCGATAGAGAAGATGCAAAACAGTTTTGTCTGCATTACGATTACTCAACAATAAGTATTCTTAGTTTATATAGAATATAGATTACAATATACCACGTTGATACCAACATGCCTATGATTTTAAAAATCCAAACAAACGTCATACGGTATTGTTTCTCTCTTGGATTTTCATATTGGTTACCAATGTCAAGAGTGGTTACATAATTGTTTAAGAACCTATTTATGGAACAAATAAAAAAATTCATCTGCAGATCATCTTCCCTTTAATTGTGTTTTTGATACACACCAACCTACATGAAGATTTTTCAACCAAATATTTGGTATGTGGATGTATTTCGTATCAAATTTTGATTTAGTTTCATCATAAAAAATTGACGATATGTTTCATAACAATATATTTTTATATTTTAATAGGTTTTTATATTTTATTAAATAGAAGTATAATTAAAAAATTTGTATTTATTTATTATCATATATTTAAAATCAAACAAAATGTAATGGTTGTTTAGCAAAAATATATGGTAATTTAATCTTAAAATAGATAAAACTTGAGGTTAAAAATTATTATGCATTGAAAAAAAGATTACATATATTTTGGTCTATTGACAAAACAATTAGCTTTGATATTTTGTTTACAAATTTAACCATCGTAACATGCTATTGTTTGCGGTAACTTAGAAATTAAGTCAAATTACAAAATAAATAAATCAGTGGTGACTTTTTTGTCAATAGAACAAAAATATAGAAACTTTTATGCATATTTACCTTTTAATTTTAGATTAGATATTACAATTTAGTGGTCGTGAAGGTATTGGTGGTGGTGGTTATTGGTGACGATGGTGATTTGTGATGTGGCAGTGGTGGATTCGATGACAATAATGGTGGATTCGATGGCGGTTAGTGTAGTCAATGACAAAATTATTAATTTTATTAATTAGAATTATATTTAATAATTCGAATAAATAAAATAAGAAAAGAGAAGGATAGAAAGAATGGCATCATCATTTCACACTACTTAGAGACATTGATAGTAAATGCCTAAAAATTTACTCAAAAACGAAAAAGTTTGATTTAATTGATTTGAAGAAAAATACGAAATTAGTTTTATTGATAATACTAGGAGGGGAGGGGGTGTTATAACAAATGGAGGATATAATAGACAATCCATATTGAAGATGGGTTAATTAGGTTATAACAAACCACCTCAAAATTGATGCCACCCATGATATCATCAAGCAACTGAAACAGCAACACCATAATGCTCGATTGACTTTCGTGAGTCTTCATCGCACTTACAAAGTGGATTTTCCCTATTACGGTTGATAATATGGACAACCAATGATTCACCTTTAAATGCTTCATATTTCAAGCTGCATTATTCACCTTATTTTATTTTATAAAAATGTAAATATAGTAACAATTATTGATAATTTACACTGATCAACAGTATGAAATTGATGTACATTTACAAACAGATATGAGGGTCGGTCGAAACAATCATCTACCTAAAGCTTTTGCAAAATTTTCTGCCACTTTACATAACTCATTGATGATAGTATACCAATATGGTGGAGAATCGGTTAATTGGAGGTCAGAAGGGCCAAGTCACATATTTGGGTCAAAACCAATCAATAACGAGATTGTTGGCAGACAACTATCAAGGTTTTGCAAGATATACATTTGAATTAAAAGAAAAAAACATGCATGCACCACAAAAATATGTTATAAAACATAATTTATATAAAACCTTAGTTTGTAGAGTGAATATTGGTGGTTGTACGTAACCTTGTGGAAAATAACACAAAAAATACTTTAAGTCAACAGAGCAAAATCGTCATAAACCCTCCTTTTCGTATTACTATGATATACCATTATTAAAAAAATGGCAACAGAAAAATGGTTTCTATCAATTAGAATTATAATGCACTAAAACGGTAATAATCAGTGACCACTTGCTTAATGCCCCTTCATTTCTCGACAAAAATGCATGATTAAAGAATTTACCACCATCTATCTATCAATCCACCACGATTCTCAGACCTGAGCTTATAAAAACCGTCTTCACCATCTCCAAATGCAGTTAATTATAAGAATTCGTACTCCTAAAAATTATCATATTACAAGTCTTGCATAGGATCACAAGGTACTACTTCCATGCATATGGAATGAGATTCGTTTCCTGAATGAAAGTCGACATTACTAACATCTGTGTTTGATCATTGGGCAGGTACCAGCTAACAAAACACGAAAGATGAAGCTAGTGGTGCTTATTTTGGTAACCATGTTAGTGTGTTCTTCTCGGGTTGTTCAAGGAAGAACACAGAAAAACATGGTTGTTCATCCAGATAGCTACGTGGACAACCACCATAATATTCCACGACAGAACTACAATTCGCAGGGTGGTAGCAGCGGAGGAGATGCCGGTGGTGATACTGATAATGGAAGCGGATGAGACGAGTTTCTTTAAAGATGCTTTGTGAGGAAATGCTTAATGTTTATATGGGTTGAATCTATGTGTGCTATCAAGTGTATGGGTGGTGATTTATATATGTTTATCTCTACTTATTGCAAGTTTTATGTCTTAATATTATGAGTGCACTATGTATCTAGAGGATGAACAAAATATCTATATATTTATATATTGTGAGATACGAGTGCATTACATGTAAATACTAAGATTTGGAGATTCTCACGACGAGAGTGTGTTGATGTGTGTCAGTGTGTGTATATATGAAAGAATGTAAACCGATTGATGATCTATTGATCTCCCAAGTTGGTTGTGGCAAAAGGGTATTTATTTTGGTCAAAAATAACAAGTCCGGATATGATTATTTTCTGAATGGTGATGTGAAAATTTTAAAACTAAGGGGGTTTGATGGTATCCAAGAAAGACGCATGTTGTGGAACGTGGGAGTTTGTGGATGGTAGTTGAAGCACTACAAAAAAAAAACAACGAACAACAACGATCATTAACAGCGACAAAAAGCGCTGATATTGCTCCCATAAAGCGCCGCTAAAGGTAATATATAGCGGCGACAAAGCGCCACTAAAACGTCGCCGCTATTGCTTAAAACATCGTCGCTTAAGATAAGTGTCGTCTCTAATAAGTCTGTTCGCAATTGCTAAGGGATCAAGTTTTGTAGTGGTGTATAGGTTATGACGTAAGCTAGTAAAAAAACTCGGGCTTCGCCCCGGTCGGTATTTTTTATAAACATTTTTTTTTCAATTAGGGCATCGTACTTTGAAAGGTTTATTTTACCTATAGTAGTAACGTTCTTACATAGTGCTACAAATATTTTATTTGATATTTATTGCTATCATTGGTAATTAAATATATGTGTGTTATTTGAGGAAAATAAGATCGTATAGTAGAATATCGAAGGTGGGGGGGGGGGGGGACCAAAAGCGGCAACTCCACAAACTAATGTGTCAAAAACTTGAGGTGTCACATTTGGTAAATGCCTTGGACCAAAAGTAGGAAACTCTTGAATCCTTTGTGGCTAACAGTAGAGAATATCGAAGTTGGGGGACAAAAAGTGACAACTCTACAAACTAATATGGTAAAAAGTTGAAGAGGGACCAAAATACCAAAGTGTTGAAATGTTTGTGGCAAAACTTTAAAAAAGTTGAGGAGAGACTAAAAGTGTCAAAGTGTTGAAACTTAGTGTGGAAAAACTTCGAATAAAAAAATATAATTCTTAAGACCTTTGTGCTTTAAAATATACGAGAATGTGATCCGCGCTTCGCTGAGGTCTGATTTTTTTTTCATGTTTACATATTTCGGTGTTTCTTTGGTTCTTTTTCTCGTTTGTTGTTTCTATTTTATGTGTCTATATGTTAAAATATAGTTGTCATGTAGTATGCAATTAGATCACTAGACTAATTTAGTTAGTTACCTTTCATGTTGAATTGTTTGACTGATATATATATATATATATAGATATATATAATATATATATATATATATATATATATATATATATATATATATATATATATATATATATATATATATATATAACAGTCAAACAATTCACGGAAGCAAAGGTTTAGTACTCTAGGATCTTCTTGCAATAAAAGGTCATCAGAAGGAGTAGTAACAGGTCCTATTTACAGAATGTCGACTACACGTCATGAATCAGAGAGCTTTGGGATTTTCTTTGACAACGCATCACTACATGATTGGATTGCCGTTGAGATCTCGCAGACCTTACTAAAAGAATTACCCGATATCATTAAATGGGTTACAAATAGATTGATTGTCAGGGTTAAGGAGCGGGTTTCTGCCATTTGAACTATTGATGAAAGTGTAAGGACCGCTCAAGAAGGAGAGCTCAGAAAGAAGAAGCAAGCGCAAGACCTAACTTTGCAAGCAGCAGCCAAAAGGTTTAAGCATGCTAACTCAAGGCATGAAGGACAGAGGGGGTCTCAGTGTAGCAAGTGTAGGAAGTATCATGAGGGAGCTTGTCGTGCTTTGGTATGCTTCAGGTGCGACGAGGAGGGACACTACAGCCGAGACTGTAAGCAAGAAGCACAATGGGTGAGTGTTTGTTTCCACTACAACTAGAAGGGACACATCAAGGCCAATTATCATCTTCTAAAACGAACAATTGCATTGCAGGCTCTAGCACCTGCAACTTTTAGGCTAACCAATGGATGCCTAAGGGAAAAGAAACCTACAACCAATGAAAGAGTTGTATTTTTTCCTATCAAGAAACAATGAGTGACACCGGTAGGAAGTATTTAATAGTATGATGCTATATCTGTTTTCGGTACGTAGGTATTAGTATGTACCCAACAATCATCATTATTTCTTTTAAAATTCTATTACACAATAAAATCCCTTTCTCATTCATGTGCGTTACTGCGTTTTTAGACAAACATTGTGATTTTAATGACCTTATACTATTTTGGTTATGCTATGTATACTTGGACCTTATTGGGGCACCTGATCTTCCTGAAGTGGATGGTCTAGATGGACCGGCTAATGGCACAAGGTTAACCTTCTTGACTTTGTTAAGCAGCTGCTGAATCGCCAGTTTCACCTCCTGAACATGAATACCTTTATGTTTGTTAATAATTTCCTGAATTTGTATCCGCTCACTGTAGCCAAATCTGACTAGTTTACAAGCAAGTACAACCTCAATGTATTCATACTCAGTCTTCTTCCTAACCAAGTGAAGTTTTAATGACTTGTCCTTTGGTTTAGTGCACCTTACCCTGATGATGGGATCAAGTTTTGATCTACGAGCCAGAAAATCTCCAAACTTCTTTCTGTTGATCCTGACATTTAATTCCGAAATCCTGTGTTGTTTGTCCACATTATTGTTGAACAACTGAGTATTTTTGTTTTGAACATTTGTGCTTTGAACATCATCACTTTCATCAGTGGAAGCAAGAGCCTGAGCAAGTTTAATGGACCGATGTTCTTCTTTTCTTGCTCGAACAACGACATTATTCTCTATCATAATTTCTCTCACTTCCTCAATAGATATATCCCATTCTTCAGGTAAAACATTCAGATCAACAGTGAGCTTGCTTTTCTTAGAAGGAGGAGGGTCAGAAGGATCACCAACGGCAGAAGAGCTTCTAGTTTTAGCGACATTGGCTCCCCATAAGAATGAGGCTTTTCTCTTTCGAGGATTGAGCTGATCATCATCAGACTATGTCGCTGTTAGTTCCTTGAGGAATCTCCCCCTCAAAATATGAATCAAGGAAAACGACACTCAAAGGAACAACAACTTGAGCCATAAATCCCAAATCAAGAAACCCTTCATAGTCATCAGTCTCAAATTAATCACCAACATCTGGGATAGGCTGATCATTTGTTGCATCAGCGTCTAGGATGTTGCTCTCCTGTTCAGCTACAACAATTGCCTTTTGATTATCAGTTTCAAACCTTTCTGATTCAAACATCTCAGGCTGATATGGAGTTAATGCAATCACCACCATTTGTTGATCAGGGCATTTTTTTTTTACTATTCTCCCCCTTTTTGGTTGCATCATATTGGGGAGGAGAGCTAAGAAATGGTGAAGGATAACGAGGAGGAGGATTAGATGGTGGGGGAGGAGGTGGAGGTAGATTTGATGATATAGGTGGAAGTTGAGGAGGATTATCACCTGGATAATTTGGTGGAGTTTCATCAATAACCATATCATCATCATCACCCAAGGTCATAATGTGCTTCATATCAGCCACATCCTTTTCTACTCTAGTCAGTCTTTCTCCCAAAGACTAACTTAACTGAGCCAAGATAGAAAGTTGAGAGAGCACATAAATTTGAAAATTGGAGATGGATTCCCCCTGATAAAAGGAAGCATTCTGAATAGGTGTTGGCATAGGAGGGATAGTTTCAGCTTGAGGAGAAGGAGACACTAGTCTTGGAGAAATCACACTTTGGATCAGTGGATCAGTTGTTTCCACTTGAGGTGGGGTTGATCCATGTTGTACGATATCATATGTAGAGGTAGTGGATGAAGATGTAGAGGAGAATCAAATGTGTTTGTTCAATCTTGGAGGAGAATTCATTCCCTGAACATGAGCTTCACCCCTATGAGTGACGGGTTCATCCTCTTCTTCTTTAGCGTCTTCTTCATCGTGATCTTCATCATCCTCTTCTTCAGAGTCAGAGGATTCAACAATGTAGGGATTTCCAATCCATCTTTCCATCCTCTGAGTAATATGAAAATCATCATCAAAAGGAGCAACATTGATGATCTTTGAGGAAAGGGCGGGAAATGGAATGATGATCCCATGATTATCAAAATTATTAGCCGAAATCTATGCCTTATATATTGCGGATTCTCTGTTGTATATTCAATGTATTTTTATTGCATATTATTTGTTCCATATTTAGTTTAGGATTTCCTTCTTTTCCAATGTATCTTCTGTAGTTATACCCATTTTGATCAATGAGAGAAGGAAATTGATTCTCAAAGATTTACATGGTATCAAAGCCAAGGCTCAATACCGTTTTTCCTTCTTCCTCCACAGTCACGACTGTGTAATTTTTCTTCCTTCTTTTAATCATCATGGGCGACAAGTCAGATCCTAACCCTACCAAAACAATCCACCACGTCTACACGATAACAAACATTCAGAAGAAGGTGTGAATTCTTGACGGCACCAAGGTTACATACTCATCTTGGGTACGATTGTTCAAACTCCATGCCAGAGGATACAAAGTCCTCGCTCATATCGATGGTACAGGACCTCCAAAGCCTACTGATCCGGACTATGAAGCCTGGTCAAAAATCGGTGCTATTGTTCTTCAATGGATTTACGGGACACTATTCGACGATCTTCGTGATCGTGTCCTTGATCCAGAATCTACTGCCTATCAAGCATGGAACAAAGTCAAGGAAATCTTCCTCAACAAAAACGGTTCTCGCGCTGCTGCCTTGGAACACGAATTCAAAAGCCTAACTCTTCGTGTCACACCCTCTCTTGAAGCCCACTTTCAGCGTCTCAAAGATCTTGCATGTAATAGCCCAAAATTTCAGATAAAAATTTTCATTTAATAATTACAAATCGCAACCACATTTGATTTTCAGAAATTCCATTACATAAACACATTGTTCAAAAGATCAGAGTATCCAAACAATAAGTGCGGAAATACTGGAGAGTGCACGATGCGCCATCAAGCCGGGCCCTTGCCCTTAGAACCAGAAGTACCTGAAACACCCAACAAAACTGTAAGCACATGCTTAGTGAGTTTCCCAAATACACAAAAC